ATCAGTCTTCAATTCTTCAATTATTTTTAGTTGTTTTATTTAAAATCACATCGAGTGGTCAAGTGATCAAAGAGAGTATTATTTTTCAGAGATTTTGGGTTCGAGCAGCTGCGTCTGAAGGATATGTGTACGTTATTAATGATTAAGAAAGATTCTGAATAAATACCATCTTGTAATCACCCAAAATCTATTCACATTGTATAAAACTTTTGATTGCATCTCTTCTTTTCTTTTCCTCTTTTATAAAATTAAAAGTAATTCTTGAACTGTCCAGTCTTTCCTTTTCCTTATATATAGCAAGGATGTTTCACTGAAGTTGTCGGTTGTCTTCTTCAAAGAGTAACATATCTTAAAGTCTCAGATTTAACTTATATGCGGTTCCCTTCTTCTGGCACTTATATTCAATGGGGACAAAGCAGTGTTAGTCTTGTTGAATTGAATACGCTATGTAGTTTTTTCTTAGAGGATCCGATTTCGAGCAGCGTCTGTGAGATCTATGTGCGTTATCAATAGACTAAGAAAAATTATGTACAAATACTACCTTGTAAGCGGACTACTAAACTTGACAAACTATTTCGTTTTTGGGTATACCCATTTTATAAACAAAACTTGAATACTACAAACAATTTGTGCTATATAAATTATGTGTAAGAAATCAGATCCAAATGGAGTATGTTTGCAGTTTGCACACATCTCTTAAGTCAACTTCCTTGAGTTATTTCCGAATAATATGGCCCAAGAAACTTCACCTTCCCTGACCAGTTGTTATTGCAAATGGAATTGATGGGAAATGGAGCTTTTCATTGATCATGTGTAAATTTGAGTTAATGGGGCTAAGATGATGGAAGAAGGTTGTAGATGAGTAGTGTGCATTTGCAGATGGGATTCAGCTACCTGGATGGCTTCCACATTTACCATAAATGGTATACATCAAAGCGTTTGAGTTTTCCTTTTCTTTTTTTTTGGAAGAACCAAAAAGAAAAGAAAGTAATGATCATGCACGACATCAAACCACCTACTCTTTTTCTTATTCAAAAAGTAGAATCAAGTGAAACAACTCATCCAGTTCTGGTACTGCAACAAAGTACATACACGAGTTCTGTGTGACAAAACTTGAAGAGAAAGACGTCCACAGTGGGGCTCGAACTCATGCTCAATGGTACAGACAAAGCCAATCAACTGTTCATTTCAAACCCAACAACATGTACAATGTCGGCAATTGTTTTATCCATTAATGAAAACAAAAAAGAAAACAGCTAAATAATAATTGAACTGGCACACGTTGTTAGAAAACCCCCCAGCACCATTGGTGAAAGCTTTTGGAAACTCTAATATCTCGCTTAGTTTATGATGAAAGGAAAGATGGTAAATAATGACAATTTCCATGGCTTCAAACACCAGTATATGGATACAAATGTTTCAAAAATTGATACCTTTGGTGTTGTTACAGGACAATGTTAAACATCTCTCAAGTCTAAAAGCTCACTACCTGCATATATTATTCATACTGCGACTAACATCACCAATAACTGAGCTTGTTCGACACATATAACTTCCAGTTCCAGAACCAAACTTTTCAGTTGGAAGAGACTCGACATTACAAGGAATACAATTTCAAAAACTAAGATACCGCCTGCCTTGAGGCAGCAGTACAGAATAAAGTTAGGGGAGCATGGCTAGAAAATAGAGAAGTCTATGAGAGGGGGGCTGCAATTCGAAAACTCCTGACCTACACAACAACTTACTTCCGAACACTGTAAGAAGACCGATTGTTTTCAAAAAAGTTGAAGCCTGATTCGAAGAGCTTGAGACTTGAACCAAATTCTCCTTGATAATTATGCAATAGGCAACAACACAGATGAATAAGAAAACCCTTTAATTCCAATCCAAGTATTGTGTCATTTATTTATTTACTTTGAGGAGTTTGTAAATAAATTTAAAATTTTAAAAGATAAGTTTCTAAAATAATTTTGATTGAATTAGAAAGAATTTGTGTCATTAAATTATATAAGACAATTATGATATTAAAAAGTAGGAAATATTTTTTTTTAGTATTTAAATTTTTAATCATTTTAATAAAGTGTCAAAAACTTAAAAGATGTATGGTTATAGTTTTGGTTTTATTTTTGACATAAAATTTAGTTTTTGTTTTATTTTTGACAAAGTGTCAAAAACTTAAAAGAGGTATAGTTCACGGTCAATTGATATGGACATGAAAGAATAACGAGTCGACCAATATAGTCCAGTTTTAAGTCCATCAGACAAATTTTTATCGGTGAGATACTAAAATGAAATACAAATTAAATGTTATGTATGATTTTGAAAAAATTAAAAGTTTAAGTATTAAAACAGATCAAAATTGATAGTATATATTTTAAAAAATCACAATCATTTATCTAGAAAGCTTAATTAATCTTACAGTCTTTGATGCTCGAACTTAGGACCTCTAAGGATAACAATCATCACTTCAACCATTGAAGGCTTGATCGTGCAACAACATTGAGTTTCTATGTGATGTCAAAAATTTAAATTGTCATACGACATTTATAAGGTCAACCTTTTTAACATGTCAGATCTAAAGTATATTGAGTTTATATGTCACGTTAAAAAAATTGTCATATAAAATTTATAAGGTTAATATTTTTAACATATCAGATCTAAAGTATTTTTTTAATAAGTTATCGTATATTTACAGTTTGACATGTTTTAAACGTATTTCATGTCATACTTGAGTTGACATTTAACGTCCAAAATAATGGTTAGGTTGATAAAACGACATATAATATTAATGCTTTAATAATTTAATTATAATATTTTTAAAATTTGAATACCAATTTAGAATTTATATCATAAGGAGCTTAATACAATTTTATTAGCCGTTAATAGACGGTGACTTGATTAAAATCAATTTGATAGTTTAATGATTTAATTGTTTTTTTGTTCAATAATTAAAATAGAACCGATCTAATAATTTAGTGACCTTGGGGTAATTTACCCTACACTTTTTCATCTATTGACTAATGTAAATAAAATTATTTGTTTCTTGGGTAAATTAAGTGTTCACAATCTAAACTATCAGTTTTCATTTGTTTAGTACCTAAACTTTCAATTTTTTTCAAAATCATACCAAACGTTTATGATAGAAAAGCGGCAACGGATTAATGAACGTTGCTCTTGTTGAGAGAAGCAAACCTAGAAAAACTTTAGACTCAATGAAAAAAACGAAGGGGATGAATGTATGAAGGGGCTGTATTTAGGGTTTCTTTTAGGGGTTTTTGGTGTTGAAATCAAGACAAGAAAAAAGGTTAAAACAAGATAAACAATGATAATAAAAAATAAAGAAATAAAGTACGAAAGTAAAGAAATCAAGATGATCTCCCTTTTGAAGGTAGATGGCGAAAGGGGTGATGAATGTGAAGATGGATTTGTGGAAATATAGATGGATAAGTGTCTTGTGAACCCGCCTAGTCACAATTAACTAGGTAAATTCGAGAATCATCTTTAACCAACCCTCCTAGTTGTAATGAAAAGGTAAACCGGAGTGTGAAGATCTCCATCTCAAGAACTCTGTAGAACTTAAAAGAAAAGAAGCTTCAAATGTACAAAATGTTCTCATGTTGTATTGAAAAGAATAAAACTTGATTACAATGGTGGGAGGAGCATCTTTTATATAGGAAAATGAGTCTTTATCCTAACATGATTAAGGAATAAAATAACAAGAAAATAATAACTAAATTATATCCTAGTCCAAGTGATGTGAGTTACATCAATATGGACCTTAATGTAGTGTTTGATCCGATGGTGGTGATGAAAACTAGGAGTTTGAATGCATGACTTGTTCCTCAGCCATTGGATTCGATGGTTGTGATGAAAACTAGGAGTTTGAATGCATGACTTGTTCCTCAGCCATTGGATGTGATGACTGGTCCAGATTGATCTTCTAGAAGGTTGTGACTTGGAGAATAAGATGGGGACTGCTACAGTTTTGTCATTACAAGCAAATTACCTTTATAATCTTGACTTAAACTATTCATAATATGAAAATATAAAAAATTCGTATTAATATCGTATAGGGATTTCTGTACACGTTATCTTCACTAAAATGGGTATATCTTGAGTTTTCGATATCGGATTGATGTGATTCAAGAATCATTGGAAAGCAAAGAGACAACTGACCATATCTCTAGAAGACATGTTGACCGAATACGATTAGAATCCTATTAAAAAACCAGTCGAAAGTATGTTGCTCTTTATTCTTCTTTTCCAATGCTTGTTCGTGTGGATCGATTGGAAGCGCTAGTCCATCTTCCTTTGATGTGAGTCTTGTAATGCATGTATCAGTTTAGTTTTTATTTCATTTTAGTACCCATATGTTAAAAACTTAACATACGGGCTGACGGGGCATAGCCCTAATAGACAGACGACCAATTCGAACGACGGACCACGAGAGAATGACAAGTCAATCAACATAGTCCAGTTTCAGGTCCTTCAGAAGATTGACGACAGAGAAGGATGAATAAGTCGAAGAGTCCATCGTCGATTTGGGGAGATTGCGACATTTTCTAGTGAAACTGAGGTTGGAATCACGTTCAGGGGTTGATAAGATGCAGGCTGGAAAATTTTGACTTTATCGGTCGGCGGATGCGACGGTCGATTACTGTAGGCGTTGGTGAGCCCGTTTGTTATGATTTTAACGGTCGGATACTAAAATAAAATAAAAACTAAATGTTAAGTATGATTTTGAGAAAATTGAAAGTTTAGATACTAAAATGAATCAAATTTGATAGTTTAAGTACTAAACGTGTAATTTACCCTTCTTTCATGTCACCCGTATTTTAAATGTTTTTCAATTTTATCTTAAAGTGTGGATATCACAATTTCTCCCGGACTCAAACCGATGTTTGATGTTAGATTCATTTTGGTTCAATTTTTAGGGCACGAAGTAAACTCATTTATGTCATTTATTCGTGTGCTTGAGACGTTGATGGTTGTCGGGTTATTTAGGCTTCAAATATTCGGACTCTTTCTTCGAAATCTGATTGATTTTGAGGTCTGCCAAGTGCCAATCACCACACTCACACCGACGTTTTCCGATTTCTGAAGCTCCGGCCGGAGTTATAGGTCGAGCTCTTCAGGGTGAGATGAAAGCAAATGAAATACACGGAAAGCCCTCCAGCTGTTTGGTTAAATGTCTCACTGATATATAAAAAAAACTCAAATTGCAAACTTTGAACTTCAAAAACAACGTTGAAGATAGTAGTGCTGGCGATGGGAATCCGATGGCCTAGAATTTTAACCCCAACGCATCTCTCTCAAATTATATCAACTCCAAAGAACCCATTAACTGCGCTCCAAATCTTCAATCAAGCCCACCAAAAATACCCCAACTATCGTCACAATGGTCCCGTTTATGCCACCATGATCAACATTCTTGGCAACTCCGGTCGAATTCTGGAGATGAAACAAGTGATCGATCAAATGAAAGACGATTCCTGTGAGTGCAAAGATTCAGTTTTTGTCGGTGCTATCAGAACTTTTGCAAGTGCTGGAATGGTAAATGAGGCTTTGAATCTCTTTAACTGCATTCCTCAATTCAATTGTGTCAATTTTACTGAATCTTTTAATACCATTTTGGGGATAGTGCTGAAAGAGTCTAATTTCAAAGCTGCTTATCAACTCTTTTCGGACAATTGTTGGAGGTTGGAAGTGAAATCTAGGGTGAAATCATTGAATTTGTTAATGGAAGGGCTTTGCCGATTCAAAAAATCCGATCTTGCCTTGAATAGTTTCCAAGAAATGGATTTTCAAGGTTGTTACCCTGATAGAGAAAGTTACAGGATTTTAATGAAGGGTTTATGTGATGATGGTAGGTTAGATGAAGCTATCCATTTGTTATATTCAATGTTTTGGAGGATTTCCCAAAAGGGTAGTGGTGAAGATATTGTCATTTATCGGATTTTATTGGATGCTTTGTGCGATGACGGGAAGGTTGAAGAAGCTTTAGAAATTCTTGGGAAGGTTTTGAGGAAGGGTTTAAAGGCTCCGAAGAGCCGTAGACAACGACTTGATTTAAGTCAATGCAGAGATAGGGAAGATTCAGAAGCTACTAAACGCTTGATTAATGAAGCTTTAATAAGAGGTGGAGTTCCTAGTATGGATAGCTATAGTGCTATGGCCATTGATTTATATAATGAAGGTAGAGTCGATGAGGGTAATAAAGTGCTCAATGAAATGCATAAGAGAGGGTTCTTCCCATCGTTGCCGATGTACGAAGCAAAGGCAGAAGCTTTGAGTAAGAAGGGGAGAGTTAGTGAAGTAATCAAAGTAATCGAAGAGGATATCAAGGAAGGAACTTGTGTTCCGAGTGTCGGATTGTATAACACCATATTGAAATGTCTTTGTAATGCAGGGGATTCAGAATTAGCCATTGGATATTTGAAGAAGACGTCCAAGCAGGTCGGTTGTGTAGCCACCAAAGAAACCTATAGCATTTTGGTTAATGGGTTGTTCAAAGAAGGTAAATATGTCGAAGCAAGTCGGGTTTTGGAGGAGATGCTGATCAAATCACATCGGCCGGGTGCCGAAACTTATAACGGACTTATAAAAGGGCTTTGCTTAATAGGTAGGCAATATGAAGCAGTGATGTGGCTAGAAGAGATGGTAAGTCAGGGAATGCTGCCGGACCTTTCAATATGGAACTCATTGGTTGCATCTGTGTGTTGTAAAATGAGTGACATAGAGATGTTTAGTATGAACTCATTCTAACCCTATCAATATATTTGTTATCTCCATTCCTAAGCTAAAATTTCAGCAATAACTTGGCTTTTATCCTTTTACTTGAAAATCACAGTCTTCAATTCTTCAATTATTTTTAGTTGTTTTATTTAAAATCACATCGAGTGGTCAAGTGATCAAAGAGAGTATTGTTTTTCAGAGATTTTGGGTTCGAGCAGCTGCGTCTGTAGGATATGTGTACGTTATTAATGATTAAGAAAGATTCTGAATAAATACCATCTTGTAATCACCCAAAATCTATTCACATTGTATAAAACTTTTGATTGCATCTCTTCTTTTCTTTTCCTTTTTTTATAAAATTAAAAGTAATTCTTGAACTGTCCAGTCTTTCCTTTTCCTTATATATAGCAAGGATGTTTCACTGAAGTTGTCGGTTGTCTTCTTCAAAGAGCAACATATCTTAAAGTCTCAGACTTAACTTATATGCGGTTCCCTTGTTCTGGCACTTATATTCAATGGGGACAAAGCAGTGTTAGTCTTGTTGAATTGAATACGCGTTATCAATAGACTAAGAAAAATTATGTACAAATACTACCTTGTAAGCGTACTACTAAACTTGACAAACAATTTCGTTTTTGGGCATACCCATTTTATAAACAAAACTTGAATACTACAAACAATTTGTGCTATATAAATTATGTATAAGAAATTAGATCCAAATGGAATATGTTTACACACATCTCTTAAGTCAACTTCCTTGTGTTATTTTCGAATGATATGGCCCAAGAATTCGAACAGAGCCTCGATTACAGTATAGAAACTTCACCTTCCGTGGCCAGTTGTTGTTATAGCAAATGGAATTGATGGGAAATGGAGCTTTTCATTGATCAAGTGTAAATTTGAGTTAATGGGGCTAAGATGATGGAAGAAGGCTGTAGATGAGTAGTGTGCATTTGCAGATGGAATTCAGCATACCTGGCTGGCTTCCACATTTACCATAAATGGTATACATCAAAGGGTTTGAGTTTTCCTTTTTTTTTTTTTTGAAGGACCAAAAGAAAAGAAAGTAATGATATGCACGACATCAAACCACCTACTCTTTTTCTTATTCAAAAAGTAGAATCAAGTGAAACAACTCATCCAGTTCTGGTACTGAATCAAAGTACATACGAGTTCTGTGTGAAAAAAAACTTGAAAAACGGACGCCCACCGTGGGGCTCGAACCCACGACCACAAAGTTAAGAGCCTTGCGCTCTACCAACTGAGCTAGACGGGCCATTTGTCTACGTTCCGGTTTTTTTATTTAATAATCTAAAAAATAGCATCGAGAGACCCAATCCAGCCACAACGTATAGCATGTGAAGGCTTTAACGGAGCCATTGGATGCTTTCAGCTATGTTAATATCAGGCATCCAATGCGATGTTAGCTCCCAGCTTTGGAGGTTCAGTGACTAAAGTTCTATCCACCCATATATATATATATATATTATCTCTAATAATCTGTAAACGCTTCAAAGGCTGCAAACTCTAACCTTAAAGGAACAGCTTTATACGTAACCGCTCAACTAAGAGACTTCGATATCGAGCCATCACCAAACGTTAAATATATTTGGAAAAACGATCCTAAAGAGATTTCTTTTCAATTGAAAATCTACGTTTGAAATGGGTTCAGGAGTGTTGGTGCCTGGAGAATGTATTTCCAGCCTCAGTAGCTAGCCAGAGACCTAGCTCCCACGACTTAGTGATGTAGCAATAGCTTGCTGCGCAGTGGAGGATATTGTTTCCGGACTCGAAGAGGGATCGGATTCAGAAACGACTCTCGCCTTCGAGTTCGATCAGCTATCCTCCCCTGTGCTTTGGAGTGTACCGGAGCTGGAGTGTTTTAGCAGGTAAGTATACCAAAAAGTGGCCTATGTTAAAAGAGTTGGCAGCATACGAGCGTGGGAAAATGAAGATGTTTGGTAACTTATCACCATTAACAATGGACAACTTGACTCCTCACCTCTTTCCTTGGTTGAAAAGGTATTTACTCTCCTACTCCCATTCAAATCTCAATATATTCCTCTGCTTTGATTTAGTTAAAATGTTTATTTTCTAAAGTAGGGTAACCTACACCAGATATCACTAAACTATCGGCAAAATGTACTGCTTTGGCATCTAGGTATTTGTTAGATTTGTTTAGTTTGTAGAAAAAACTTCCAGTGTGTTCTCTTAACAATATGAACGTAGTTTCAAAATTAATCTGAAACGATAAGAATAAAATTATCATCGGACAAACACGTTAAAATATTGAATATTGAAATACGAATGGAAAAAACTCCATAATGAACATAGAAAATAAATAATGGATAGAATATACAAAATTTACAATGTTCAATAAAATATTGTCTACTACTCGAACACTACCAACAAATGATAACTTCATTACCAACAAAATATTACAACAAATAGAATTTCTTAGAATTCTCAAGATATCACAAAGTAGAAGAATAGAGAAAAAAATAATATCTCAAAATCTCATTTCCTTTAACTTGCTATAACACATTGACATTACCAATGATAAATTCATGTGATATTCTACTCAATCTTTTCTAAAAGAAAAAATCGTATATAACTGTCACAATTAACAATTTTAATGTATATTATATACACGACTTCCTCTAATTAGATATATTATTTATTTAAATTCCAAACATTTAAATTCATAGATATCAGCTACATTTAAAACCTAATTAAATAAAGTTAGAAGATAGGGTAAATGGGTGGGGTTTGTTCCTTAAATAATTTGGTCCCGATGTCTGCATGTTTTCACGTGTCCAGCTATCACCATGGCCGTAATTACAAAACCAGCTACTACTAGACATGCACAAAGTCGGATAAAAAATCGATCTGGTTTTTTCACCTAGCCAAAAAATCGAAATTTAAAAAAACTGATTCGGATTCTAAGGTTTGGAGGGTCGAATGGTGTAACCGGTTTCGGTTTGAAAAAAACCGGATATAAAAAAACCAAATACATGTTTAGGGTGGTAAAATGATGATTTTTTTAAGAAAAAACGGTCACAAAAACCCCCCCAACGGCTATATTAACGGTTAGTTTTTAAAACCTCATACTGTATTTTTTCGGATAAAAACTGGTTTTTAATCCGGTAAAAAAACCGATCGTCCAATTTTTTCCCAAACCGGTTATATTATCCGGTTTTTAAATATCCGATCCAGTTTAAAAAAAATCAGTTTTTCCCAAATCCAACTTCGGATATTTTTTGCACAAAATTGGATATTCGGATTTTTTGTGCACCTCTAGCTACTACATAGGATTCTAAAGACGCCAAAAATATTTTATAAAATTAAAAGAAAAAAATATATCATTTTCTTGGGACGGAGAATCTTATATTAAAGAATGATAAATTTTTAAAATTTTAGAATTTATATAATTTTAGAAGAGTAAAATTTTATTATTAAATTTTTTACAAGATAGAAGTTGTTAGTTTTATTAAAAATAGAAAAATATTACGATGAAATTTTATAACCACAACCATAAACTAAAATACATAATAAGAATATTTTATTATAATCATTAACAAATTAATCACTTAAGATCACACAAATACAATGAAAAAATTAAAAATATAACTAAATAAACTCAAATAAAAGGTAAATACAAATAGATTTGAGCACATTAAAAGATCACCCACAAATCACAAATTAAAATCGAGCAACGTGAGAAAACTAACAGTATAATAACAAATGAGTGACGTCAGAGATATTAAAATTAAAAAAAACAAGAAAAACAAAGATTTGAAATAATAAAATAAATGAAAAATAATGACATCGATGATAGGTGACCAATTACAAAGATAAAGAAGAAAAGTCTAACAGCAGCACAAGAAAAAGAGAAAAAAACTAGAGTTGAAAATCCTATATCAATTCCTATACAAGAAATAAATTAATATAAATTATCAATTAAAAATAAAAATAAAAAAAAAAATCTAAAATATATATTAATTTAAAATTGTTAAAGAACGATTACACTCATACGTCAATTCGATACATTCCTCTCCTTTTCCAATCCCCTCTTTGTCCCTCACTCTCATGCCTCTTCACTGGATCCCACTGTCTTTTCATATTTCCCTCTCATCAATCATCAATTGTGAAACCCTATTTTTTCTATAAAAAATAACTCTTTTGTGTTATTAATATCTATATTTGTATTAGATTTAAATGGAGTAGTGTTTTCTTTATTATTTTCAAATTTGAAATTTAATATTTTTATTTTACTTCTATAAAATTAAATATTTTATTATATTTATTTGAAAATTTTGATCCGGTTTTAATTTCTATTTTATTTTATTATTGTTTATTAACTTTAACAACTATAAGAAAATAGCAGAATAATTTTTCAGTCTCTTATATTTATAATTTTTATTAGTTTGATTACTATATTTAAAAATAAAAAAGTAATGTTAATTGAACAGTATAATTTTCCAACCATATATATTTATAATTTTTACGAGTCAAATTGAAAGAAAAAAAAACAAACGTTAAGACTAAAAAAAGTTATTTTTTATAGATGTCAGATCAGCCATTAATATATAAAATTGAACAAAATTAAAAGAAGCAAGATTTTTCAAATAAAAATAGTACATGAACTTATTTTCACAAAAAATAGTATAAAGACTAGATTTTAAATTTTGAAATAGTACAAGGACCTTTGGCACATTTATATTCTCAATTACTAGTCATGTAAATGGAACAAATTGAATTGAGATGATCAATCCTATAAAAATATATCGACTAATAGATTGGATATATTTTTTTTATTTTAAAAGAAATGCTATTTAAAAAAACTTTATAGATATACTTAGGAATGACAACAGGTCAGATTGAGATAAAATTTTGGTCTATTCAAACCATCTAAAACTAAAATAATAAAACTCGACTTGATCCTAAAGAAAATTTCATGACTCTATTTAATTTAATCATTTTTTCATATTCATATCAAAATAAAAAATAATTGAATAAAATTCTAATTTATTTAATTTAATTACACAATATTATAATAAATTTTAATATAATAATATATTTTAGTACCTTATATATTATTTTTTATGTATTTTTAGTAAAATATAATTAATAATATATAAATATATATAAATGGTATATTATAATTATCTTGAGTCGAGTCGGTACGAATTCTTTAAAAATTCAAATATGATCCAACCTAACTAAATTCGAGAAAAACTCAACTCGACTCGACCTAAAATTTAAATTTTAATAAAGAAAAATCTAATCCAATTAAACCATATTGAAATATGTTGAATATAGACTTTTATTATTCCTAGATATACTAACATAAGTAATACATTTGTTATTGGTTTATGTGTTTTATACTCTTATTATATTATAGTATTATCCACTAAATTTTTTAATAAAAATATTATGTGTTTAAGTATATTACTAGAAATACTAACCTAAGTAATAGATTTGTAGGGTTATTATTTTTAGAAGTTTTGGACACGAATAGAATATATGTACGTTATCAATGATTAAAAGAAATTATGAATAAATATTATTTTGTAATTACCTAGACTATTAAAAAAGTATATTAAGATTAATAATTCTTAAATTATTATTGTAATAACTGTATAAATAAATTAATGTTTATTTGTTAATGGATTTTTTATAAGAAAGAAAGTGGATGAAAAAATTGACTTGATATTAAAGTCAAACAGATCAACGGCTGACAACAACCAAGGATGTCGGTTCAAAAAGGAATTTAAGTTTTCTATCAAAGTTTCAATCTTTGGGTATATAAAATTTTCATTTTTATGATAAATATTATTATTTTGTATTTATTATATTATTGATATTAGTTTTTTATATTACTTTCCATTAAAGTTTCAATCTTTGGCTAGACATTTTCACCCATCACTTGTTTGATGAAATGATATTAGTGTGATGCGCTCCATTTAAATAATGTTGGTGCATGTATGATGATTACATCCGAGTATTCATATTTTCTAGTACATAAAATATTAAGAATTTTTCGACAATTTATAGAGTAAATAGTTAAAAATTCTTAATTAATTTATTTTTGTCTCTTAAAACGTGGGTTCAATACTATTAATTAGGAGCAAAATTCCTCTTCTCCTCTCTTAAATAGAATTTGTTCAAAAAAATGTCAAAGAACCTGGATTCTAGATTTTTTTTAAAAAATCGGTTTATGTTTTGATCCATGATACTTGTGGGTATTTGTAAAATTTGGGTACCCATATTTTTATCACATATAGGGCTATAAATGGGTCAAATCGAGTACGTCTAGAAAGTTTAAAACTGATCTCAACTCAATTTGAAAGCTTGCGAGTTTAAAATTGTCAAGCTCAAGTTGAACTCAAAATAAAAAATTGAAGCTCGTCTTGAGCTCGAAAAACTTGAACTCGAAACATTTTTGTACCTTCCTCAACTAAAGCTCAAACTTGTGCTCGAACTTGAAAACCTTTTATTGCATTTTTAAAAAAATAATACATAAATATTAATATTATTAATTTAATTTAATTTAAAAATTACAATTTTAATATATATTTTAGTTGCTCGTGAGATTTTTGATTCGGGTATCAATTAACTTATTTCGACTTGTTAAGAACACAAATTCAATCCATTAGATTCAAGTGTTGACCAAACTTTAACTAAGTTAAACTTAAATAACTTGCGATTTGTCTCGTCTATTTTACAACTCTAATCATAAATATCCAATTTATATTTATTTTTTTCTTCAAATTATATTATTTTAAAAAACACACACATGAAAAAGTATAAAACTTAAAAATTCACAATACATAATTTAAAACGTTAGACTGAAATAATATGTGAAATTAAGAATTTAAAATGTTAGATCGAAATAATTTGAGAATTTATATGCATAAATTTGACAGTGATAGTAATTAAGAGTTAATACAAAAAAGCAGCCAGAACTTAACCTTAATAGAACATTTACGAGGTGGGGTCTAATTGGACAGTGACTTCACTTGGCACCAAAAGGGGTGTGATGGGCTATCTTTTCTCTTCCCCATCACACGACAAAATCCTTGATAAAGAGAGAACAGAGTATTCAGATTAGAGGTTGAGATACAGAAAAAATGGCAGCAATTGTATTTTTTGAGTGTTTCTTTTGTTTCTGCACCAATTTCATGTCCCTTCCTCCTCTCCCATTTCCCTGATACCCTCCCAAAACTTACAAGAAAGCACAAACAAAAATGTTTGATGGAGTGCCGGATCAATTCATAGGCGCCGTCGCCGCCTCATCGGCACCGCCAGCAACCGCAAGAACCACCACCACTCTCCTCCTCCCCCTCTCTTTCACTTCTTTTGACCCTTTGTTCATCACGTCTTCTTCGAACTCCCATCATCATCAGCAGCAGCTGCCACCCCAGTTCTTGCAGACATTGCACCAGCAGAAGAATAATGAAGAGAACACCAGCTTGGTAGCTATGAACATGGAGATTAATGAAAGATATCAGAGATCCATGGCTGAACCCATTGATAATCTTCATCATCAACCTTGGTCTAATGATGAAGTTCTTGCACTGTTGAGGGTCAGATCTAGCATGGAAACTTGGTTCCCACAATTCACTTGGGAACATGTTTCAAGGTATACATACATACATACATACGTTTTTTTCATGTTATTATTCATGTATATACTTATGGAGAGGTTGTTTAATAAAAGAGAAAGAAGGATACTTATAAGTGAATAATAGATAGTAAAATAGAAAGAATAAGTGTTTGATATATAAATATAGGTAGTTGTGTAATGGTTCAAATTCAATTATATACACACACAATTATGGTGGGTGCAGGAAGTTGGCAGAGCTTGGGTTCAAAAGGAGTGCAGAGAAATGCAAAGAGAAATTTGAAGAAGAAAGCAGATATTTCAGCACCAACAATTGCAGCAAAAACTACAGGATTTTTAGTGAACTTGAAGAACTTTGTCAAGCTGAGAATCCTCCTTCTCATCAGAACCACCACCAGCAGCAGCAGCGGGAGGAGGAGGCTGTTGTTGCAGATGAAAGCAACAAAAATGTGGAAAATCCAAGGGAAGAAGACGACAATATAGGTCAGAATTTGGAAGATGTTTCAAGAACTATTGATGAATTATACCGAACTTCACCAGCAAACAACAATGCTGCAATATCATCAGATCAGGATAACCAAAACGTGGTCGAGAACAAAGGAAATGATGATAACAAAGCCAACAGCAAGAACAACAAGAAGAGGAAAAGAGTGAAGAAACTTGAGATGTTCAAAGGTTTTTGTGAGGATATAGTGAACAAGTTGATGATCCAACAGGAGGAGATGCATAATAAGCTGATTGAAGATATGGTGAAGAGAGAGGAAGAAAATGTTGCAAGAGAAGAATCTTGGAAGAAGCAAGAGCTTGATAGGATTAACATGGAGCTTGATCTTAGAGCCAAAGAACAAGTTGTTGCTGGTGATAGACAGGCCACCATGATCAAATTCTTGAACAGATTCTCACGAAATGGATCCTCTAAAAAGCAATGTCTTGGAATAAGGGTTAATGTATGTTGCAATCCTCCTCTAGCTGCTTCTTCTTCTTTAGTTCCAGTTACAGAAAACCCTAATCCTATTATCATTGAACTAAACAAAGTTGATCAAGTTTCTACCATTACTTCATCTTCCATAAACCAATCCCTTCAAAACCCTAATCCAAAAACACCCACTTCATCATTACCTCCCCAAAACCCTAACCCAACATTAACAGTAAACAAAGCTCCTCAAAACCCTACGTCCAGTGACAAAGAAGACCTCGGAAAGAGATGGCCGAGAGACGAAGTGTCGGCATTGATAAACCTGAGATGCAGTTTCTATAAAAATGGCGACCACGACAAGGAAGGAGGAGCCATGAAAGCACCCCTATGGGAAAGAATCTCACAAGGGATGTTGGATTTGGGTTACAAGAGAAGTGCAAAGAGGTGCAAGGAGAAGTGGGAGAACATAAATAAGTACTTCAGAAAAACCAAAGATATCAACAAGAAGAGGTCCATTGACTCTAGGACATGCCCTTATTTTCACCAATTAAGCACTTTGTACAGCCAAGGAACACTCACGGCACCGTCGGAAGGACCGGAAAACCACCCGAAGTCGTCGGAAACAGTCCGTACTGATCCATCTCAAATGGAAGCCGACGAGTCGACCGTGCAAGTTTCTAAAGGTGACGAGACGAACAACATAATTCAAGTACCAGGTTTTGAATTCGAATTTTGAATCTCATTATATTTTTTGGGTGCATGTTAAATTAATTTGTAGTATTACAATATCTAATAACAATATTATTAAAACTACAATATATTAGATAAATAATAGTGGGTTGATCTTTTTAACTTAGAGAATCTGATGTAAACTTTCATGGAGGATATATTGTATTGTAGTGAGCACCGACAATCTGGGAAATGAAAATTTAATTTCAAAGTCGGGACAATTTTCAGAAATAGACACAAAATTTTATGTTATGATGAGTGAATTTATAAAGTTTTAAGCAAGAGAAAACTTATAAAATTTTAGGAGGGTGAAAACATATTTTTGATAAAAAAAAATATCTAAAATATATAAAAATTTAATGTTTTTAGAAAAGTTGACCGTCTCCACCCGCCCTCCTCTAGATCCATCCCCGACTACTTTCATTATATAAATATATATGATTATTTTTATTCTCTTTATCATCGTCTCTTTATAATCGTAATTACTTACTGTAATTATAATATAAATTCAGAGTTTAGAGATCGATGTTTGCTTACTATATGGAGAAAGGACAGTGTTGATGAGGGCCGGGCAGTTCACTGTTTCGTACCAAATAAAATAAAAGCAGCGCGGAATGAAAATTGGGGAATCTTTTCAGGCAAGAAAATGAGGTTTTGTAGATTAGTTGCTGGAAATTTTCAGAAACATGACAGGGTTGTATTTATTCGGTTCGGTTTGGTTTTTCAATAAAATATGAATTAAATTGTATTTTGTGGGGGTTTTAAAATTTAAAATTGAATGACATAAAAATCACGGGTTTTACTTGAATAGGTTTAATTTGATTTTGTGATTTTTTACTGTTTACTATTTTTTCAAACTTACATTTAAAGAAAATAAACTTGAAGCTTAAATCGAGTGTAAGTAACAAATTTAAATTCAAAAAAATATTTGTTTTGGATAATTATTTTCTTTTATTTTTTTAATTCGATTTGATATGAAACAAACAGTTTCCATATAAAAATTGAAAATAAAATCGAATCAGATTATATGATTATATATTTACATCGAACTAAAATCATACCGTAAAGCGAAAAAACCTAAATCGAACCAAATTATGTACTTTAATTCATATCGATTTTTCAATTTTCTCGATTTCAATTCTAATGAGAGATATTATATTTATATATTCATAATACTTACAGAAATAAAGAGAGTGAACATTCAAAAACAGAGGCAGTGACATTATATTTTCTGAAGGTTATATTGGGACCCACCACGTGACCAAAATTTCGAGGTTTTTAGTGTCTCCAATCTCCGTATTATTAAGTAAAACTAATCAACTAACTTAATCGTTGTTATTTGTAGAAATTATGAGTTTGAGTATCAGTGAGTGTAAAAGTGATTGGGCGTTATTTTAAATTGATTGAAAGTATTTGAAACAGATATTACATTGTAATCACCTTAGTTTAATCAAAAAATAAAGTAAGATTCATAACGGGTCTGATTAAATCAATTTTTTAATTTGTTATATTAGATTTAAGAAATATATTTTATTTAATAAAAATATATTTTATTTATCTGAATTTGATTTAATTTGATTTTAATTTTTTCTATCTAATTCAAAATTAAATTATGATTTTGAGATAAAAATATACAGTCAATTCTATTGTATTTGATATAAATATATAAAAAATATTTTTATTTGATAAAATAGGGACTTAATTGAAAATATTATAGAGATATTATATAAATTATGCTTAATTATAATAAAAAATTATACTATTATTTTGATTCGAATAAAAAAATTAACACTAAACTCAAACTCAATTTCATCTCATTCTTTAATAAATTTGATCGATTATCGGATGGAATCAAATTATCATCCTACTCCTAAGTTCTAATAATTTAATTTGAATTCTAATAATTATTTCATTTTATTTTATTGTTGATATTCAAAAGTTATAATTATTTTTAATAATATTAATTTTAAAGTTTATTTTTTATTACAATCATTATATCATTAAACCCATTACTTATTGCTAATAGAAATATAAAAAATAAATTTTAATTTTTAAAAATATATATTTATATTTCATAGTTTTTTAATAGTTAAATAAGATTTATTTCTTATGAAAATTGAATAGATAGATTCCATTGAACGTGACATCAACGTCACATGTGATGGTCTGTGACTGTATAGCCAGCTCTCATATGCAGCCAAGAAAAATAGGTTGGCGCACGTGCATCTTGTGGGGGCCCAATCATCAGATGGCTCAGAAATAATTTGATCGTCACAAGGGTGAAGTCAACTTGATCAAATTTTGATCCCATCTAATTTCATATTTTCCTTCAAAAAATAATTCACCTGGACCAATTTATTTTAGGTTTTTTTGCCTTGACAATTTTAAAATCAGGCTGGGTACGAGATTTAAATCCGATGAAATTTGATCTAATCTAATCTTGTTAGGTCAATTTTTTTAAAAAAAAATTAGATTTAATTTAAGTTGGATTCATATTTAGGGTGAAAAATACTTGACTTAACTTGACCTGAAAAATAATGTAAATATATTGTATATATTTAAAGACAATTACAATAATATATTCCCTATAATTTTTTCAGTTATATATTTATTTTATAAATATATTTATTTTGGGTTGCATCGAATTTGCGTTTTATTGCAAAAGATGGATCAAATTTTAGGTAATATTAAATCACCATGTACTCGGATCAGATCGAATTTCGGATGTAAGATATATATTTTTTGAGTTAGATTTGGTTGAACGAAGATTGACTCATGTTCTTTCCTAGTTAAACACTTAAACCTATCATTTGGTGGGGAGTTTTAAGTTAGGTAAGATAAGATAAAGTCGATAAATTTATTAATTTAATTGGTTGAATTATTGGTTTAATTATAATTAAATAAAAAGTTAAAATATTAGTTTAATTTAAGTCTTATTATATACAAAATGTCATATGTTAATTTAAAATATAAATATCAATCAAGTTTAAGTTTTAAGGATAAATTAGAAATTTACGTATTGAATTTTACTCTCTCTTATTTTATTCACTGTACTTTTATTTTTTTCTCAATTTAATCACTGAACTTTATACATTGAGTTTTTTGTCAATCCGTAGTTAAATAATGAACGGTATTATAACATGACAACTTATATCAAAATGACGTAGTTTTAGATCTTTAAAAAATAAATTTAAACTAAAATGACGTCTTTATTGTCTAAATAAAAAACTATATTTTTTTTTATTTCTTTATTTACCTTCTTTTTTTCTTGTTCCTCCTCCCATTTTATCTCCTCAACCTAAGAGAACTCAAACCCCGATTATCACGTCGATCGTTGTTATAACAACCGCCGGCCACCGTCTCCAATCTAACGGTTCAAGTATGAACGAACAAAGTTGCACAAGATTTGCATGAACAAAGTTGTCTGCAAGGTACAAAGACAACACGAGTTCTTGGAGTTGCTGTGAACTGGCTTTCCATTTCCACTCTTATAAGGCATGCTTCAACCTCCACTAATTTCTTTGTTGCTCGTGCCATGTCCTCTCCTCGCCGCATGCGGGACAGATAGCAGTAGAGGTTCAAGCCACTTTCTACCAGTATACGGAGCTCTATATCGGAAATGTGCGCCTGGAGAGCGGTTCTAAGATCAAAAATCTGTCTACTTTGCTCTTCGATCCAATGCATGTATTCCATCTCAAATGCAGTAATCCCTGGCAAATTCACATGAAACTATTCTAAACAAGAAAGCAACATGCATACACTGGACATTTACATGAGAAAAATGTGATATCGCGGATCAAATCCTCCATTGCAAAATAGTTTTGCTTATTTTAAGAGGATTCAAGTCACCGGAAACACATACCCATTGGAGTTATTAGTTTTGAGCAAATAACTTATTTCTCGCTTCTCGTTGTTTCTACCAACATACTTCACAACCCCATCCATCATAGAAGTAGTGGAAGGCGATAATAAAGATTAATACATTCAACGTCAAGACGTTTCAAGCTATCTTCGCAATCTGCTCGCACATAAGCAGGGCCACCCTCCTGGTGATCATGACTCAAACAAGTCAAGAATAGTTGGATTAGAAACCAGATGGGTTGCATGAGGATTTAGACACAACAAGAATTAATTCGAAGAGGAAACTGAAATTCATTATTAGTGCAGCCTGTTAGCGGGATTAACTGCAAATATTGCTGAAAATGAACCATATGTATAGACCTGAATGATTCACAATAACTACATAGGACAAGCATCCCGAGGCATTAAAAGATGAACCAGCAAAGGTTTTCAACAAATGTCTCGTAAAAGGGAATGATATGTTTTTATTACTGGAAGTTGTCTGACTCCGATCACTCATATGAAAAATGGCTTTTTCAATTTTATTTCATTACATCCTATGCTGTTAGAAGCAATCAGACCATTTTCATATTACTAGATTAGGACTAAATAGCAGTATAGCACCACTCTTCAAATCACACCACGGGGATGCATGGAGGATGAGAACAATCATGTTGGGTTCGGGCTTTGGAGGACCATAGAAAGCCGACATCCCCATGCCTCCAAGGCCTTGTGCCGACACTTCCAGGCTTGGGAACCTAACTTGATCGACGAAGGGAGAGTGAATTTATTGAAAAGATTTTTATAGCAGAAAAAATAGAACATGATCTTAAGGAAAGAGAGAGCGTGATGAAGAAAGCAGATAAAGAGGTTGACAGATAAGAGCTTAATGGGCCGGATAAAATTTCCGTCACCCATGTTAACGGCGGTTAACGACAAGTGAACGTTTTGTTACAAATAGATAACATTAGTGATTAATTTATTACTTTTGAAATTTTAGTAGAAAAAATAAAAACTTACTCAAACAATAGTAAAATATAAGAGAATTTGAAAATTTCAGAAGACGAGACTATCCCACCGCCCTCACGATCCATCCTCGAAAGCAAATCCAATGTCCAAACACTTTACGAACATTTTTACAAGTACAATCATAAAGAATATATATTCGAATAATTATAAGTATAATAAAATATAATAAAGATTAGTAAATTTGATTTACCTCAATCTATTTTTAGATTGAATTCTTATACGATGAGACTTGGGGGAAAATCATATATAATTTACTCAACATGACACTTAAAATCAATATTTTAATTTTTATCAATTAGACCAAAATTTTATTGACAATAATAAAAGTTAAATCTTCTAAAATATAACCTAAATCTCCATTAAATTTTCATCTTGATCTAAAATTTAGTTAATATCACTCTTAAAATATAACTGCATGTATGATGGGGTCACTTTTAATATATGCAACCACACTTTGAAGTTTGACCATGTAATGCGAATTCTCCCATGATGTCGTAAGTCGTAACATAGCCCAACATACCCACCACCTTTAACGTGGACCGAAACCTCAATCTTTATCTGATACAACAAGTTGGATGCCACAAACATGATTTTGTCGCATACATGCACCTAGTCTTAGTGATTAAAGAAAATTATTTTTCTTTGAAATTTTAGATTTAAACAGTTGTTTTTACAGAGTATGTGTATTCTTAATGACTTACAAAAATTTATGAATAAATATTACCTCATAATTATCTCAAACTATTAAAAAAACCAATAATGCTTTCATAAAACATGTTTTAATCTAATTTTTTGTATAAATAATAATATTATTAGATAATACAAGGGTATCATCCGAAATTAATTGGGAATTAAAGATGACTTAGATCTTGTATAATCTTTTGGGTAAACTATATGTTTAGTACTTAAACTATTACTATTGTTCCATTTTGATATCTAAACTTTATTTTTTTTTCAGAATCATATCTAATGTTTAGTTTAAGTTTTATTTTGGCATCTCGCCGATAAAAACTTAACGGTGATGTTGATGTGTCACCATAAGATAATGTCACATCATCAATTCTATTATTTTTTTTAACAGTGGGATACCCAAATTAAACATTAGATATGATTCTTTAAAAATAAAGTTTAGATATCAAAACAAAACAAAATAAATAGTTTAAGTACTAAACATGTAGTTTATCCTAATCTTTTAAACCTTGTTGGGTACTATTTTATTAGTTGTTTAATATCTAAACAAATAAATATAGGAAAAAGTACACAAATAATCTCTGACTATAGGTCGTTACTTGATTGAGTCCCTCAATTATTAAAAGTTACAAAATGGTCTCACAACTATAGGATGTTACTTTGTTGAGTCCCCCTACTACTAAAAATTATAAAATGATCACCCGACTATTCATATGTTCCAAACTAATCATTCTCTGTTAAAAAATAGATAGCAGTTTGAGCTAGACATTAACCTAGTGACTGAGATATGATAAAATATGTTCCCAAAATCTAATATCACATTCCAACCAACAGGTTAACGTCCAACTCAAATTGTCATTAATTTTTTTAACAAAAAAGGACGAATTTGAAACATATGAATAGTCAGGTGATCATTTTATAACTTTTAATAGTCGGGAGACTCAACAAAATAACATTTCTATAGTCGAGAGACTATTTTGTAACTTTTAATAATTAGGAGACTAAATCACGCAACGACCTATAGTCAGGGATCATTAAGTACTTTACCTATAAATATATTGTGCTTAATACAAACAAGGAGAGAATGATTATTTAAAAACAAAAGGTGGAAATGATAGTGGCAATGATTAAGAAGGGTCGTGTGTAATGGCAAACAAAGAGGGAACTATGTCCGAGTTCTAAGCCAAAGCTTCTTTTCCTTTAACCTACACTCCTCCCTTTCATTTTCGTTAGTTTCTAGCGGCCACATCATCACACAAAAGATAAATATAATTTATTTGTACATATTATGTAATAAATATAATTTATTTGTACATATTATGTAATTTATATCACATAAAAATTAATTTTATAATAATTAAAACATATTTTTAGTTCATGCATTTTTTATACATTTAAAATTTAGTCTCTTTATAATTTTAGAATTCAATTTCTCTACTTTGCAGATTTAAAAATCTAAATTCAATTGATTATATGATTAAAATTCTGATGTTAAATTCAAGTCCATTACAATATAATGTATTTTATGTTATATGAATTTCAAATTAATGTTTTCTTTATTTTAAAATATCACATGAATAAATTTAATAGAAAAATATTAATAGTGTTAATAATTAAACTATTTTTTTATATTTAAAAAATAGAGATACTAAATTTTTCGAAATAAAAGTACAAGGGTTAAATATCAAATGTACAAAAAGTATAGAGGCATACTGTAAATAAATTAATTGTGTAATGTATTGAGTTTTAACAAGGAGCAACAGCATATTTATTATTTTAAAAAATTATTAAATTTGATTAAATTTATTAAGAAGAGAATAAGCAAATAGAAAATTTATACAATCACTTTCAAAAACAAGATGATAATTAAAATTTTAGGTTTAACTTTTAAATGTTTAGATCAGTCACTGATATTTTAAATTTGATCTTAGATAATTTATCCCTAATTTTCTTATAAAAATAAGAGTATATTTTAATAAAAATATAAAACATTACAATAAGGCAAATTTTTCAGTGAATCTAATAACATTTAATTATTTATAAACATAAATAAATTTAGATAAAGTTTACATTTTTTAGAAGATTATGCTTTTGGATAACATGAATTATGTTTATATTATATATAGGTGTAATGCAAACTTAATTCTAGACTAAGGATGGGCATAAGACTCGAACTCGATCAGTTTCGATTATACCCGATCTTATTAGATCAGATTTTTTAAAATTTTAGGTCCTAGTCGAGTCGAATTTTTTAGAATGATATGTTTGAGTCGAGTCAGGTCATGTTTAGAGTGAAAATATTCCATCCGGTCTGACCTGAAAAATAATATAATTAGATCTTATATATTCGGGGATAATTACAATAATACCCTCTCTAAATTATTTTTTTCAATTAGATGTCTATTTTATTGAATAAAGTTAATATTTTATTATACATATATTTGTTTCGGGTCGGGTCATATTTGAGTTTTATATCAAAAGGTGGATCAAGTTTTAGGTCGGATGAAGTCACCCTAAACTCAGGTCGGGTCAAATTTTGAATGTAGTGTGTATATTTTTTAGGTTTATGATTGATCAAAAACCTAATCCAACCCAACTTATGTCCATCTCTAAATCTAGTCATAAACATCTTTAATTATTATATTTTGATTTTTGATTTTTTTTTCTTTCATTTTAAATTTGGTGATCTCATTGAGTTGATTGAGCCATAAAAGAGGCAAACACATTATGATGAAGGGAGTAGTTGAGAATTACAGCAACTCACGTAAGACTTGAGCTCACACTTCACGGGTAATTCAATAAGTTGGTGGGTTCACCCCTCTTATTCAAAGATGCTGCAATTCCATCTGTACACTGAAAGCTCACTTTTCATAGTGATTTTGACCATTTTCAATGTGACTTAAACTTCTTTTCTTTTAATGTATCTGCCATTTTTCGTTGTGGATAAGGTTGTTGAACCCTCACAAGACAATTATGTTCTTGCCTTCCTAAAAACATTGGATAGTTAACCAAAGTGGTATTATGTATATAAAATTTAATTTATCTTAAATATCCTTTTAAAAATATATAAAAATAATAATTATACTATTATCCTTTTAAAATGTTGGAATGTAGTTTATGAGTTCGAGTTGGAGAAAAAATAAGTTGCATTGATGTAATTTATCATTTTATGATTTAGTATTATAAGTTTCACAAGTTTAGAAATTAGGGTCTATTTAAAATTCAGAGTTCAGAGTCTAGGGATATAGAGAGGGCTGTTATATTGTAATTATCTTTAAAAATGTATAAGAGATAATTATATATATATATATATATATATCTTATTTTTATTCAGTAAAATACAAATCTAATCGATAAATGTAGAGGGAGAGGTGTGTTATTGTAATTATTTTTAAAATATATATAAAATATAATTATATTATTATCTCGGTTAAGAACGAGTATTTTTACTCTAAATTTAAATTTGAACCCAACCCAATTTTTCTCTCTTAAAATATTTGACACAAACCAAACTCAATTTAAAAAAAAACACGACACTATAATGTTGGCTTAGGTCGAAATTCATTGGGTCCGGGTCTCATGTTCATCCTTATTTGTAGAGTCTAAATTGTACACATACTAGTATCATATATATATATATATATATATATATATATATATATATATATAATTATGTGCTATATTTCACATAAATTTGGGTAAACTATGTTTTTAGTCACCCACCTATTCTCATTATTTCGTTTTGGTCACCAACTATTTTTTTTAAAATCATGTCTAATGTTATGTTTTAGTCACATGCCGTTAAAATATTAGTTGTGATACTGACGTGACATCATAAAGTAATTTCACGTCATTATTAGTAAAAATAAAAAAATTGTCACATCAATATTTTTTTTAACGACGAGTGATCAAAATAAAATAAAAACATAATATTATGTATGATTTTAGAAAATAATTAAGTGACCAAAATAGAATTACGAAAATAGATGAGTGACTAAA